TGAAGGATAGCAGATGATGTAAACTATTTCAGGGACACTAAAAAGAAAATCAAGTGCTGGACTTCTGACATTCCACACACATAACCACAGATCTATTTATTTTTTATATCTCTGGAATGAAAAATGTTTTTATTGAATTTATTATGTTTTTATTAAGTACAATGAACCACCAGGATTTAGGGAAAGGGATAAATAATTTTCAGTAAATCATTCACCCCTCTGTCTTTTCAACTACATTCCAAACCAGATCTTGTGTAATTCTTTGCTTGGACTACTAGTCCTGTTTTTCTTCTACTATTTTAAGCTTAATATATTGTCTTGCCAACAGATATAACGATTCCTGTAAATACCCATCAGTTCCTTACAAGAAGAACTAAAGAGAATTGCAACGTAAAGTGGGCTGTGTGTCTTGAGTGAGGCAGCCAGAAATCTCTGCTAAATCCTATCCTGGATATTAAGGAATGTTATTGACTAGAATTAAGTCAAGATATTATTTGTTCATTTCAGAAGGACAGTAAAGGTACAACAAGAAAATTTCATCTTTTCTTGTATAAAACTATGCAAGACACACTTCTGTCCATTCCTACTGATCACTCAAAGACCAACTCACTCAAGTATCTCTACAGAGTATCATAGACTTTATCTACTCCCCTCATTCATTAATTCACTCATTGAATAAATGTGAACATATTCTTTGTGCCAGACACTGGCAGGAATTCCATTCTGAATACCATTTTTTTTTTTCTCTTCTCCTTGCCATCAGAAGTCTCACAGTTTACTGCCATGGTCTTATAGAAGAGAGGGATCAAAGTAAACACAAGTTTAGGGGAGTGTCCTTGGAGGTTAGGTTGTGAATTCAGAGTAGAACACTCAGAGTTTTCACTTAGTAAAGAGCAAGGAGGTCATAATAACAACTTGCTACACTAGAACAAGGAGTTCCCTTTGAACACTGATGTAAAATTGTAAAGACAAATAAAATGTCTCACTTTGTGCCATCCTTAACAGATCATTGGAGCTTTCCCCAGAGATACTACTAAGAGAAAAAAAGGAGGTATGTGGGCCTCCCCTGGTGGCGCAGCAGTTGAGCGCTGGGTTGTGAGGCTGCCGCCGCCTCTGCAGCACCAGTTTGATCCCTGGCCACCAGCGAGGGTCCCACAAAATTTAAAAAAAAAAAAACAAAAACAGGTGTGTGTGTTGTGTACCTGTGTATATTTCAGTCCATCCCAATTCTTTGTTTATAGGTAGGGCTTTTTACCTGCTGTGTGGACTAAATGCAAATGTCAGCATATATCCTTTATTTGGCCCAAGGCTGGTTTCTGCTTCTCTTTGACATACCCTTAAAACCTTGAACAGCTTCTTTGCTTTTTCTCATGATACAATGCCCCAAGCTCATATTGTCTATTTCTTGTCCTAGGTCTGAAATCCATAATTTCCTTACAAATTCCTGGTTCCTTTTAGTTGGAAATACTATTTGGAGACTGTGATCAGTTTTCAAGGGCTGATCACTATGACTGGGGCTGATTCTTGATCCTTTCTCTTTCTATCCACTTTGGCCAGTGTATCTTTGGGATAGATTCCTAGAAGTGGTATTGCTGGATAAAGTGATTACTTAGAACATTTTTAATGATAAACTCTCAAGCTCAATTGGAAAAGAGAATTTTTGGAGTTAACCACAAGCATCTTAAAGCTCTCATTAGTCTAACGAATGTTAGACTTTCTTTACCAGGTAAGAAAAAATATAATAAAGATATAATAGCCAAATTAGTGAGGCAAGTAATTCAAACAGAATGAAGAGATTATGACAGGGAAAGAAGAGCTCTCTCAATAAATCACTTGGGGGAAATTTCTTATCAAATTGGCTAAGTAAATGTATTCTCCTCACACCAAAAACAAAAATATGAATTTAAATATTTTAAAAACCAAAGCATTAGATAAAAGAAATGAGAATGCTCTAATGGGTGTAAGACAGGGAAAGTTTCTAACACAATCTACAGGAAGAGATGGAAGATCAGGATGGCTCCAAATCTTTTGACCTGAGCAACTGAAACAATTGCTGTAATAGGGGCTGATCTTTACCAGAAAATATTTATTGCATTTGTACCACTGTTCTAGACTTAGGGAATCAAGCAATTGAAAAAAAAAAAATAGACAAAAATACCTGCCTTAAGGAAGTTCCTTTAGAGAGAAGATCAGGCTTCTGTTTAAAGCTTTCCTTGGCATTTTGCCTCTAAATATCTCTGAGCTGTGTTGCAGAAAGACTCAGGTGATTTTTTCTCCCAATCCTGGCCTTCATCCCTAGCCTGTGCTTCTTCCTGTCAATAAGATAGGGATGGCAAGATTCCAAATGATTTTTTCTACATACATTCCAAGATATCAAGAGTGTCTATCAGGAAGAGAAACAGTGTATGTAAAAGAATATTTCACTATCTGTTGATTAAGATTTAAAAAAAAAATTGTTTTCCTGGGCCTCCCTGGTGGCGCAGGCGGTTGAGCGCAGCAATGTGAGGCTGTCCGCAGCCTCTGCAGTGCCGGTTTGGTCCCCGCCGGCCTCGGAGCAGCCCACATGGCGAGCAGGCCTCTCCTGTCTCGCCCACTGCTCCCCTCAGCAGTGTATTTCATCAGTCTGCCTGTTCTGTTCCCCACTCTGTCTCTGGTGAGTCCTCTCACCCTCCCGCGCATCTGGCCTGTACCCCGGCTCTTGTATGCATAAAATAAATCTTTTTTTTAAATTGTTTTCCTAATGCAAGGTATAATTTCTGTGTTGAGACTCCAAACCACCCAATGACAGAAAATCTCATCTAGGTACTTTCAAATAAACTCTAAGTCCGAAATTCCTCAAGTACTTTACTTCTGAAAATTGAGTTGCATTCAGGAATTCTTTCCTCTTCCCTTTCTCCCTATAGCTGAGCTTCTCCCTCTTGCTCTGGCATGAGAACACTCCATCCTTTGGGAAGGTCTCCATTGTCTCATCAGTGTTTGGTCCTCACTGGCCATCTGCATGGAGGGTTATCAGCTTTCTCATCTTTGGAGCAGTCTCTCCCTGGGCTTTCAGGATTTTTCAGATCAATGGGCCAGCAAGAAACACATCTCTATCTGACTTTTGACTCATATGGTCCATACCATGGCCTCTGTCTTCCTCTGCCCACCAGCAGCTTCACCAACACACTCTCCTGAGCCTCTCTAAGAATACAGAAGCTCATCAGGTCCTTCTCCCTTAACACCCACATAGTGCTACTATACTGTGACCAAGAGCACTCCTATGGGACTTGCTACCACCCCAAATGTCTAGCTAGAATGAGGACTCGTGTTGCTCTATCTAAAGGGATGTCAGTAATCTCTCCTGTGACTGCAGTGGTGTGGGGGAGGCATCTGGTATAGATCCTCACAGCAACATCTAAAAGCTCGCGTTTCCTCAAACTCTGTCTCTTCCCCTCCTCAGAGATTATTTTCTCATCTGGAGTGAGGAAACATCTTGCACTTACCAAGTATTCATCCTAAATCTTTCTGTCATTCACCAAGATGGCATCTTTTAAACTTTGAGACAAAAATGTTGAGACTATTAATGCGGTCTCCTGGTGTGTCTATTTGGGGAATGTTTCTTTTAGTATCTCACATGTTCGTCTACATCCACCTGCCCTCTGTGCTTCTCTTCAGAACAGTCCCAACCAATCTATTTATTTTCCTCTATTTCAGTGATTTTTTAAGAAGGAGTGGGGGAGAAGTGTTTGAATAGCTTTTCTCAAGTGCTGGCTTTCCAGATATTCTCCAGAACACTGGTCATTTGTCTTTAAATTTAGGTGTAACCTTTTTATCTTTAATTTGCAAGCATTAAAAAATGAAGAATGCTTCTTGTAAATATGAATCTTATAATCTGAGGGAATGTGGATCTTATAGCTGGGTCTTCCCCTAAGTGAATTGAACGTTATTTTTTAAATTATATAATCTCCTTTCAACTTTAACAAAACAGGTTGTAATTGTTACTCTTCCTGACTACTGTCTAAATGTAGTTGTTTCTTGAATCATTATTCGTATTGCCCTCCAAATATTGAATTCTTTCTAAAAACTTGTCAGAAAATATACCTGGGCCTCCTCCCCATTTCTAGTGAAAATCAACAATAGCATATTAAATTATAATAGCAGATTCTGCACTGGTTTTCTTAGATCTTTGCAGTTTGATGTTACAAAGCATCAATAGCAATAAATAGATGCCTTTTTTTGAGAGGCTTTACTTTTTTTCTGTCTATAGAGAAGGGATAGCAGAGTTATAAAGCAGAACTTACTGGTCCTAAAATTATAAAGCCCAAGTGACAGATTAAGTATTTTCTCATGAAAAGAGGATACCACCAAAAACAATTTGATTTTCTGCTAAGGCTGGGTGGTCCAAAAAAGATGAAGTATTGAATGTATACCTTTGGAGGAGCAGTGGAAAAACAAATAAAGGAAGCAGGTTGACCATTATTAACTCTAGAAAAGACATTCTATTCCATTTTCTTCTAGTTAGACTTCTGGAGTATAATCATGTGGTGGTTCAGCCAAGTAGGTAAGTAGGTTTATAAGTATATATATATATATATATATATATATATATACACACACACAGACAGACAGTGGAAGCAGATTGGAAGTAGATCCAGATGACTCAAATTTGGTTCATATTTTGAGAGCCTGAAAATCAATAAAAATAATTTAACAATAATTGAAAATATTCATAAAAATTCATTCTACAAATATTTGTTTATTTGCATTAGCAAACTGCATGGCTGTATTGCTGGTGCTGCTGCTGCTACTGCTATATTTTACATGCTTATGAGATGCTTTGTGATTCCATGAGACCACCAGAGACTCTGGTCTGTGTGTATTGCTGTTTTACTGACCATCTTTCCAGTCCTTACTCTTGTGAAGTGCTGGGGATTTTATAAATACTGTTTTAAATATGAAAGGAAGCCTGTGGTTGGCTAACACAATACAAATTCATGCCAACTTTCCCTATTTCATTGCAGCAAATTCTTCGTCATTCTAGAGAAAACTCAACAAAAGTCATATTTCTCATTACTGATGGATATTCTAACGGGGGAGATCCCAGACCCATTGCAGCATCGCTGCGAGATTTTGGAGTAGAGATCTTCACCTTTGGCATATGGCAAGGCAACATTCGAGAACTGAATGACATGGCGTCCAGCCCAAAGGAGGAGCACTGCTACCTGCTGCACAGTTTTGAAGAGTTCGAGGCTTTAGCTCGCCGGGCATTGCATGAAGGTAATGAGCCTCATGGCATTCCATGGTGCTTCTAAGTGGAATTTCCTCCTCACTGCCCAAACCCTCTGGAAGATGACAGCAGATCCTACGAGGTATTTGCTGAGCATGATGCCCATGTGTCCTTTGTATATTGTAATAGGTGGTGACCTTCGTAAATAAAGCTGGCACTCTCACCTTGCAATGAGATTATTTACTTTTGATTTTTAACAGCTGTGATATATTTTCGCAAAAATATCCATAGGCTCCCCCCTAGAATGTGAGAATCAATGGAATGAATTTAGGTGTGTTTTGAGGCCACACACAGAGTGGGAAATCTTGACTTAGTTCTCATTTACACTTATCTGGAAACATGAAGTAAACATTAGAGACGTGCATAGCAAATCTCACCAGAGGGTTTCCAGAAATACACATGAAGATACAAGAGCAATAAATACTTAGCACACACTTCTTGATCTGACACTTTGAAGATAAATATGTGTGTGCATCTAGCTGGAGGGCATATGGAATGTATATAAATGCTGAAGAACGTTGATCGTGATAAGGAAGGCAATCAGGAAAGTCATTCATTAGAGTTTTTTTAAAAGACCATTTTGTAAGGGTGTTTAATTGTAGGTTGTGAGCTGAATAACTTTAAGGCATAGTGGTGGCATGTGTCTCAGTGAGCCAATCCCTAGCATCGATGAGATGACAGGAGAACCAGCCTCAGACCAAAGCCATGTGGCAAATTCATCTCAGTCCTTGCAGGCAGCCATGTGAAAGATTTGATTTGAAGGGGAAATCAGCAGGAGGTTTCAAGCAATTAGTTAAGTTCCTAATAAGTGTGTCAGCCCTATTTAAGTTCCAAGACAATAGTTTAGAGCAGGATCTCAGCTAGTTAGGGATACAACCAGGAAATCCTAATTAGTCACCTACTAGCTGAGTGCCTTTTGACAAATTATTTAACTTTTGTACTCTGCGGACTTCTTTTTAATAGGCTAGAGACTAAGAATAGTATCGTCTTCACTGTTGTAAGGAATGAATGGATTAATGCATATAAAGTGATGGAAGAATTACTGAGGGTCTGTTAAAATAAGCTGTCAATAACTGTCCACTATTACTACATTAGACAGTCTATCGTCTGTAATTTTCAGCTGCCCCTTCTTTGAAAATGGAGCTATTATAATATGTGCCATTTTTTTGGTATGGAAATTTTGTCAGGAGTAAATAAAATATTTAAATTTCACTGAGTATATTGTTCAGCATATGGTAGAAGTTCAGTTACTGAAGCTTCCTTCATTTCCCTTTTTCTCAGGGGAAAGTGATATGTTGAGTGGGAAGACAGAGAAGCTGTGTGACTAGATGGGATTATGAAATTATGGTTATTAGCTATGCTATTGCAGATCAATTTCTAGTCCTACAAACTCTGATTTGCAGGGTTGGGACTTTTATTCCCTAATTTAAGTTGTCCTGGAAACTGAATGGGACAGAACTTTGAGGAAAGAGTGTTGGTTACTATATCACTGCAGGATTTTGCAAAGCATCACTTTTATTACCATAAACTAATATCTGGGGTGTTAATACTCTGTGGCTCCAGATTTGGTAAGGAGACACCTGGTCTTTACTGAAAAAACATGATCAAGACAAAGGAAATGAGCTTCATTCCAGGCTTCTGTTGTCTCTGAAGCTGTTTTCAATTTCAGTCGATCTACTTGGGTATCAAATGGGTCATTTTTTTCTGGCCCTTCTCAATAGACATAGGTTACAGAATAATAGCTTTCTTCATCTATACCTTGTTTATTTAGTTCTTTCCCAGACCTAAGCCCAAGTACCAGTCCTGATAGCTGGCTTTTGCTTGTTCCTTAAGTTCTCCCTCTGTCTCAGTATCTCAGAGCTGAGTACCTATGTTGCAGGCCTTTTAACCACACCACAGTCTATTGGATGGAGTTTTCATAGGATACCTGGTTGTACGGGTCTCTTTCCTTTGGTACCAAAGTCTTCCTTTCCTTCACCCCTATCTATGGTTCAGAGTCTTAATGCAGAGTCAGATGTTCCATAACTGAGGCCATCAACAGTCTCCTTTCCAACTATGCCATTTCAGTGCATGTGTCTTGCTGAAACTCATCCATCTCAGTCCCTACTATGGGTCCTAGTACCATAGACCTCACCCTGGACTTAAGGCTAAGATGTTTAAACTTCAGCAAATGGAACTTACTGGCTGCCTGATTCTAAGCCATCCATTCTGAATCAGTCATATTCAACCTCTACTGTCCAACTGGTATGATGTTAAGTCTCTAATCAGATCCTGTTTCTATTATTCAAGAGGCGTGGTTAAATCTTTAAACAAATAGCTCCAGAAGTGATGGTGTTTATGCTTTAGTTGGTGGCTCACAAGCAATGCTGTTAGGCAGCAGTCAAGGTTAGGGTTTTATTTTTTTATCTGAACAAAGATTTTGGAAATCTAGTTACTGCTGCCTGACTGCATATGGATGCAGCAGAACACTGCGGTGTGGCGGCCCAGGAGTGATCTCTCGAACCGACTGCATTACTTCCTGCTACATCTGGCGATTCCTCTCTACAGTACTTAACTTCTGCCTGACCCTACATGGCCTCGAGAACTTCTGATGAGTTCCCAGACTGAAATAACTTAACTGGCTGAGACAAATCCCCAGTTTCTAGTAGTGCAAATAATACACATTCCCATTTGGGTGGGATTGGGGGGCAGCTGGGAATTAGACGGATATGAAAAGATATTTTCTCCAGCTTGTGATGAAGTTTTAGTAACTAGAGAATGTAGTGTTCAATTGCTAATTTATTTTTTATTATCCTGTCATGTGTTATTGGCAGATCTGCCTTCTGGGAGTTATATTCAAGAGGATATGTCCCATTGTGCGTATCTCTGTGCAGCCGGCAAAGACTGCTGTGACCGGATGGCAAGCTGCAAATGTGGGACACACACAGGTCAATTCGAGTGCATCTGTGAAAAGGGGTACTACGGAAAAGGCCTGCAGTATGAATGCACAGGTGAGTCTCCAATCCGTGTGTAACTGAGTTTTCTGTTGCTAGGTAACAACCGATCCCAGATCTCATTGGCTGAAAGCAGTGAGTATACATTGCTCATGAGTTGGCTGGGGAGCTCTGTCGGTTTCAGACATGTGGACCCAGGCATTTGTCATCAGCTCTGAATTGGGTGGGCTGCCCTTCTGGGTTCTCTCACCTGTTTGGGGATCAGCTGGCTGGAGTCTGAGCTGCAGCAGTTTTGTCTGGGACTAGGAGGCTGTCCTTTCTGTGGCCTCTCATGCTCTGTCAGGCCCACCCAGGCTTGTTTGTGTGGTGGTGGCAGAGCTCCAAGGGGGAAGAATGGAAGTTCACAAGGGCTTCTGAAGCCTGGGCTCAAAAATGGGAGCGGGAAGATTTGGTGTCTTTTATTTGTAACCAATCTATCAATAGCCACACCTGTCCTCTAGGCACTTAAGTCAAAATATGCCTCATTCTCATAATGAGATTGACGACAGTAGGATTCTGGTCCTTAGGCCACATGTAACTTAGGGATTATCCCCAAAACTGCAGCACTTGATGATTCTTCACATATCCCCACCAAGGGACATCAAAAAACTCAGAAAGTACCATTGCTTCAAAATCGTTCTCAATTCACTGACATTTGTCATTTGTAATATTACGTCTTTAGAGTTGCTTATAAGATTATCTTTGGATTTTTAATATTTTATTAGAAAGGTAAAAAAGAACAACTTAGGATTCTTGTATAGATGTAGTATATACATATATATATGTGTGTATATATATATATATATATATATATATATAGTGATGTTTAATTTATATTTTCTGTTTTACCTTAAAAACAACATTAGAGAAAACTAACCTGCTGCTCCTTCATGAGTTGCTCTTTTGGAAAAATGTATTCCCATGGAAATTGACATCCAGCAGGAAAATGTAGGAGTAGTATGTTTATTTGATACTGGACCAGGTGGTCTTTCACTGCCTGCGCCATGCAAACATAATTTCACTCTGACTTTTGGGAGCCAGGCTTGCTGTGAACACAAATGCGGGCCCCTCCCTGGCCCGTATACTGACCTGCCTTCCCTGCCTCTCCTCTCCCTCTCCTGGAAGGACCTTTCCTCTTATGTTCGTTTCTTTTCTTCTTCTTGTCCCTTACCTCCCTTCCCGTCCCTGCTCTTCCCTCCCCTGGCCCTGCTCCCACCTGGCAGACACCCTCCCTGGGTCTGAACCTCCATGTTCACCCAGCAAAGGCCCTCCTCTCTTGGCCTGGCTCCCACTCCACCCAGCAGGATTTCTCATTTAAGCAGGAAAAAAAAAAGGGGCGAGGATCAACCCAACTGCCTCCAAGTTGGCAAGATGCCTCCCCTTGAATCTTCCCACACTTTCATCAACAGCCCTGCTTGGCACGCTCCCCACCACACCCTCTTGCCTCCTCCCCCCATCGCCCACCAGACCCAGGCAGAAGCTCTCATTTTCTTTGCTCCATGCTGTAGTCAGCATGTCTGCTTTCCGTGTGGTCCTGGACTGTGCTGCTTCCCACCAAGAAGCCACGCCGTGTGGCTGCCCAGCCACCTCAGCGGCACCATGCTGCAGACTCCATGCTCTGTAGCCTATAATCTTGCCTCCCAGGGGACAAGCTCCAGGAGGGGGGCATTCACAAATGCTCTCAGTTACTCAAGTAGCTGTGGCTGCAGCTAGCTGTCCTCTTCACGCTGAAGGGTATGGCAGTCTGTGAAATGTCAGAGGTTGGTGGACTTTCAGGAGAGCATCAGTGGAAGGGACAGGAGCATTTTTGCTGCTGATTCCAGCCAAACCACAAAGCACAACCTTTTGTGCTTAGTGTAGCCATCCTGTCTCATAAATTAGTAAACCTCAGCTGAATACTTCCTTACATGCAACATTTAAATTAGATAGAGTTGCATGGATATAAATGTCGCTAGTGTCATCTGCAGGATTTGCTTCTAAGGGATCAGAAGAAGTGACACTGGAACTCCAAGATGTGATCCGGGGCTGTGTGTAGTTAAGAGGCAGCACTCATCATGGGCCTCTCCTGCAAGCTAGGAACTGAAAAAAAGAAATTGATTCTATTCTTCCTGTGGCATGAAAGACTCATTACCAGACTCTCTTCTTTTGGAAAGAAGGAGCGGTACGTCAGCTCTAAATTATACTGTACTGCACATCTGGAAAGCTTGCACCCCTTTTAAAAATTATTTAGTTAACAAAAGTCATTGGGTAACTTTTCCTGCTTGCCCTGTGCTATGTATTCAATGGTGAGCAGACAAACTTGGTCCCTGCCTTCTTGGAATTTATAATCTAGCCACACCAATCAATCTGTAATCACAAGTAGTAATCGATGCTATGGAATTAAAAGGCCCTTGTTAAGGAGAAGGGACTCAGGGAGACCCTCCAGCAAGGCCAGACTAAGATTGAAAACTCCAAGAGCTGAAAGATGACAAGACAGTAGCTACATTATTGCTCCAGTAGAGAATGTTATTTTTCATTCTGAATAGTTGGAATTCTGAGTATTTATCCCCATTGTAGAAATAATGCCTTGCAGAACCAAATCATTCTTCTTTAGAGCCAGAAGAAACCTTAGAGATTATCTGCTTTAAACTCCTCATTCCATAAGAGGAAATTGAGGTCTGGGGAACTGGAAGCATTTTGTTCAAGATGGTATTTACAGTCATCAGCAGGACTCAGGAAGGGACTTAGGACACTATTCTCTAAGTCCTATATTATTTCTAAGATTTTTTTCATCACTTATTTTGTGTTTTTGAAAATAATGTCTTGTAGACATTGTTTTTGAGACATCACAGACACTGACCAGAGCTCAAAATCTTTAAAAACACCAGAAGGATTGGTCAAAGTCAACCTCTGCCAATTACAAGCCATGTGTCTTTGAGTGATTAATTTCTTCTAATTCTCAATTTCTCCTGTAAAATGAGCTCAATATTACATATCTGTCTATGGAGAAGTACATTGATAACTGTGTGTATGTAAGTATACACACACATATACTTACCTACATACAAACATACATACAAACACACATATGGGTTAATTGAGAGAATATACTCAGAGCACTTGGGATAGGAACTGGCAGACCAATTCCTAGTGGTAGAGTGCCTGAAAAATGTGCCCTGGGGATGGTAAAGAAGATTTATAATGCCAGTGGGTACCATCAGGAAGTGTTGCCCCTATTGAAGGTGGATTACCCTTTTGATCTGATGAATATCCAGTGAAAATCAAGCATACCGAGTGAGAGAAGGCAGGGTTGTCTGCCTTGACTGGGAAAGAGTTATATGCTGAGGCAAATTATGCTGAGCAAAACAAGTAAGAAGATGGATGAATACAGGATGGTGTCATTTACACGTGGAATATAGAGAAACCAAGCAAAGGGTCAGATAAAGTCAAACCAAGACCGAACCCTGGAAAGCTGACCATACAGGTGGGCAAGAGCAAGGTGGGGAAGGAGCACAAAGGACTGTAGAGGAGGACTGTGGGTGTCTTGGTGATAGGCGCTGTGTGGTAATAACACCGAAGGGGGAAAATACAGACTTTGCAGTCACAAACAATCATGAAAACCAATGTTTCCTCAATCAATCAATCAATCAATAGTATTTTTAATTAATTTCATAGAAAAGTCAAATACTAGAGCTAACTGTTAGGGTATTTCTCACCATTCACTGGGTAGATGAGTGAACTCTACACCCTGATCTTCCAGGAAATTTGTGGCAGACTGAAATTGAATAAAGGTCTCCGGATTCCCAGACGAGTCCTTTATTCTAAACTTAGAATTCATGAGAATTCAAAAGAAAGTGTATTACCACTATGGCACAGTGATCTCCTTTTCTTCTCTACCTCCTCCTCCCACCCCTGTCCCCACACTGCTCTGGGGCTCAAACCGTGACCTCCCGGATTCCCATGCAAGGCAAGGGCTATACCGCACATGAGCTCCATGGTCAGTAGCTGCTTCCTGGACAAGCCCGGGACACTCAAAACGATTTTAATAAATGTGGATCTGTTCCATATCATGAACATCTTCACTTGAACGCAAGCCTGAAGATATTCCTTAGAAATGAAATAACAAGTATTACTTTTCAAAGAGTTCAATTTGAGAAAATATTCGCAGATGATAGAAGACAATATTTAATATGTGTGGACAGGTTTTAAAGTCCCATGGCTCAAAATTCCTTTGAGTTGGTTTCAAAGTAAGCATGTGCTTTCAGCTGGTGGTTTTACAGCAGTGAGGAACACATAATAAATAGATAGCCCAAAGTAGAATGACGCTCTGTTCATATACATCTCACTCGTATAATAGCACTGAACACAGAAACCATATTGGACAAAATTAAATGAATGCTAAAAATAACCTGCAAGGAAAAGAGAAGTTGAAACATGATTGTAATACTAATAAAATCACCCGTCTAGTAGTCCAGTCGAAAAGAGGCACTGCAGTGAAAGAAATCCAGTTCAGCAACCAAATAAACTGTGAAGTAGTACAAGTTCTTTGCTTGCTGTGTTTCTGACTCCTACATGGGGATATATACAGACCACAACAAATCTTAAAATCAGGTATGGAATTTTAACTCCTCATGGTTTCAATGGTTGAAAAAATATTCTTTGGGATTAGTTATTGAACTTCAGCTATGAAATCTTACTGAAAACTGTGGAGTCTAATATGAAGAAGGCATTGCTTCTGGTTCTAGAGCTGGTGTTGCTGTCTTCTTCCTTCATCCTTAACAGGCATTGAACAGTGAGGATGGTGACAGTGGTGATAATGGCAGCAATAATAGCTGATAATAATAAAACTAGTTAAATTGGACTTATTCCAGGCATTTTTCCAAGTATCATTCTATATCCTCTCATTTAATGTTCACAATAAATCCCTGGAGTAATGTTCCATTTTAGAGACAAGGAAACTAAATGTCTGAGTGTGAACAGCGTGTGTGGGGTGACACAGCTAGTAGAGCTGGGATATGAACCCAGTTGTCTGGCTCCGC